TGGCACATAACAACAACATGTGCTGATGTTGGGTAAAGCACACTGTTATTGATGTTGTTATGTGCCGTCGAGTCGCTTTCGACTCACAGTGACCCTATGTACAACAGCCCTAAATTCCACTCTGTCCTGTGCCAATCGCACCATCTCCGATACACCCATCCCAATTGTCCCAGCCACTGAATCAATCCACCTCATAGAGGGCCTTCCCTTCCTGTGCTGTCCCTCCACACTCCCAAGCATGATGTCCCTCTCCAAGGACCGGTCCCTCCTTACAACATGTCCAAAGTATGTTAGATGGAGCCTCAAATCCTTGCCTCCAAGGAAGCACCCAGTTTGACCCTTTCCAGGATGAATCTGTTTGTTTTCCTAGCAGTCCATGGTACCCTCAATACTCCTCTCCAGCACCAGAGCTCAAAGGCATCAATTCTCCTTCTATCCTCCTTAGTCACTGTCCAGCTCTCTGATGCATAACAAGTGATTGCAAAGACCAAGCACATACGTGTTTAAAAAAAAAAAGTTGGCAGTTTGAGCTCTCCTGTTGCTCTGAGGACAAAGACAAGGTGATATGTTCCTGGTCAGACTGGCAGCTTAGAAGCCCAGTGAGGCAGTTCGACTCTGCCCAACAGTGATCACTGTGAATTGGAATCAGCTCAAGGGAAGCACGTTAATGGAAATACATCACCACATCAAGCTCCCAAGAAGAGAGATATGGCAAGACTATGGTACACCAACTTTAGAAATCCCGGGAAAAGGACATCATGTTTGGCAAAGATAGAGCATCAACTGGAAAAGGAAGACCCTCAAGTAGACAGATGGGCACAGTGGCTCACACATAGCAATAACCTGAAAGATGGCACAGGTCCAGAATGGTGGCCTATTATATCAATGTGCCTTTTCTACCTATTGGCATGGTCTTTAACCAGAGCCAAGTTGTTGCTGTAATTAATTTGTCATTGAGTAGGACTCACAGCAACCCTGTGAACAGATTTAAATCCTGTCCTAATCTGTGCCATCCTCAAACTTCCTGACACACTAGAACCCTTCCATGTCCTGAGCCAGTCTCACTAATTCTGACACACCAACCCCCAGTGCAGCAGTCACTGTATCAATCCACCTCATCCAGGGTCTTCCTCTCCTGTGCTGTCTCTTCACTCTTCCAAGCATGATGTCCTTCTCCAAGGACCAGTCCTGGCCATGTTCCCAACATATGTAAGACAGAGCTTCAAAATCCTAGCCTCCAAGGAGAGACCCAAGACACCCTTTCCAAGACAGTCTGATTTGTTTTCTTGGCAGCCCATGGTATCTACAACACTCTTCTCCAGCACTAAATTTGTAGGCATCAACTCTTCTGCCATCCTTAGTCATTGTCCAGCTTTCTGATGCAGGGCAAGTATTTACAAAGACCATGGCCTGAATTAGGTGCACCTTAGTCTCTAGACTGACATTATTGCTTTTCAGCACTCTGGAGAGGTCTCCGTCGTCTGATTTTCCCAGCGCAATTTGTCTTTTGATTTCCTTACTATTGGTGTTAAGAGTGTTGATTGTGGATCTGAGCAAGCTGTAATTGTTAACAATCTCTATCTCTTCTCCATCTATTATGGTGCTGCCAATCGGACCAATGTGGAGAATTATTTTCTTGATATTGAGCTTCAATCCATATTAAAGACTACGATCCTTGACCTTCTGCAGCAAGTGCTTCAGGTCTTCTTCAGTTTCAGCAAGCAAAGTTGTGTCATCTGCATAACATAGGTTGTCAATGAGTTTTCCTCCAATTCTGATGCCACATTGCTCCTCAGAGAGCCTTGCTTTCCGAATTATCTGTTCTGCATATAGATTGAAAAGGTATGGAGACAGGCTGTATCGCTGACACACTCCTTTCCTGATTTTGAATGATGCAGTGTTTCCCTGCTCTGTTCTGAGGACTGCTTCCTGGTCCAATTATAGGTTTTGCATAAGCACAACCAAGTGTTCTGGGATTCCCATTTTCCTCAAGGCTAGCCATAATTTGTTGTGATCCACACAGTCAAATGCCTTTGCATACTCAATGAAACACAGATAGACATTCCTCTGGAACTCTGCTTTCTGCCAAGCTCCAGCTGACACTGGCAATAATATCTCTAGTGCCACAACCTCTTCTAAACTCAACTTGTATTTTTGGTAGATCTCTGTCCATGTACCGGCCCAGTCATTTCTGGATGATCTTCAACAGGATTTTGCTAGTGTGTGATATTAGTGATATTGTTTGATAATTTCCTCTCAGGTCACTTTTTTTTTTTTTAATGGAAATAAACAGAAGCCTATGTCTCAGAATCCCGTACAAAGCCATATGCTCTAAAGGACATTACGTGAATATATCTGTCCCAGTCAGCTGTGCCACCCCCTATGTGGTATATTTGGCTTAAAATGGGTTCTTTATGGGGTGAGGGGTAAACATAGCATCACACAATTTGCTGGGTGGAGGGAGGAGGTTAAGGAAACGGGAAAAATCCAGTGGGGATATGGAAAGATGGGGTAAAGGTGGACATAGTTCGATAATGATTAACACGTTGCTGCACACTTTTGGCTTAGAAACTTTTTTTTTTATGTATTACGGTCATCTGCGGCAAGGTGTGAATATTATAAAATGAGACTGAATCCATGAGACACAGTGTGAATGAAGGATAGTGTGAAACACAATGTATACGAGTTTTGTAGGCAAACCAATACAAAATAATTTAAAAAAAAAAAAAGAGTTTCTGCAAAGCATTTTTATCCAATCTAACGCTGAAAGACCCCAGAGGCTTCAGTAACAGTTTGAGATGCCAAGTTGACCGTGGTTGTACTGATGATGACCTTCGAGACCACAGCAGGTGTGTGCAAGCCCAGGTCACTGTGAGCCTCACAACCACAGACTTCGGAGAAATAGATGCGAAACTCAGTAAAAGGTCTGGTTACCCCAAACTCACTATGCAACTAGAAGCTGGGAACCCAGGGAATCGATTTGGGCAATATTTTCCCTTCAAGCACGCTACAAACCACGCATCTTCAAAGTTTTTACTGGAGTGCAATTAACTTTTGAAAGTGAGGCTTTTCTACGTGGGGAAAAATATTCTTTGACCACCGTTTGCAATTCAAGAGCTGTAACACATAT